CTAAAGAAGAACAGACAAAAAATACACAGATGTGATAGCAACTAACTTACCTTGAGGATCAAATCTGTTACAGTCTTCACCTCTTCATTGGTCTTTTTATACAGCTTTACTCCATATGGTTTTGGACAAGCACGGACTAGGTTGTATCTAGTAAAACAGAAAATTTGATACATATTGCCTTGGTTTAATACTACTGATATTTGTTAGATTTCATCAATTTTTATTTCTGTAAGCACCAGGTGGTTATATATTTATACTCACACTCCAACTGACATATTGAGGTCCTTTCCAAGGGACAGTGGAATTCTGGCTGTTGCTCTTTTCTTATGGTCTTTCGATCTCACCCTAGATAAAGTATGGAGAAAATGTATTTTAAAAAAGCAAAGTATTTTTATACAATCAAAGTGAAAATATTGATCATGTATGCTCAATATGCATATGTAATTCTTTATAAATTTATAACAGACTTAAATTGAACTGTATTTAAACTGAACAACTTAATTATTGTCAGGAGATCCATGTGTAAATGCAACATCACCAGACCTTGTCAACAATTCTTCAAACTTCTCTGCAGGGTCAGCAAGCACAGTGTTTTCATCATCATCAAAGTAGAGAATATCCTGGTTGGATAAAATAATTTAAGCTATAATTATTCTACTATATGCTTACCTCCCAAATACACTGTCATATAATAAAGTCCACGTGCAGAATGCTTACAAATGTGCAATCTTTGAATAAGCAACATTTCTTGAACTACATATGACTATATTAAATACTACGTATACAGGCCTTAAAAATTCATGGATAGGAAAACATGTAAATCAAGCTATTATATTTACCCTGTAAAACTTCCCTAGATCAAAACCTTCTGCAGGTTTCTGTATGTGCATCAATTCCAGTTCTATTCCTGTTTCATGTAGATCAACAGCTTTGGCTTTAGCTTGGTTCTAAAAAATCAAAAATTAAACAACAAAATGCAGCAATGGCAATGGTACTAAGAGAGCTTAAATTTCATAAACAATCTTGTCAGTACTGTCGGTTTGAAATGAAAACACACGACACATTTTGAACATGGACCAGATTCACTCTTCTTATTTTAACACCCTTGAATCAAATATTATTAGATTCTCTTGAGATAGTACTCACTTTTAGGGAATTGTTATTTCTATGTGGATCATCATCGTTTGTGAAAAGCATCACCCGTTTGTAGTTTATCTTGTGAGGGCTAAGAAAAATAGAATGGAATAGGATAGAATGATCAGATTTCAATGCTTACTGGTGATATACTTTCTAGTAAAAAATGCAATTCAAGGTGGCTTTTTTTAAAATGCTCAAACATCATGATATGGATTTTAAGATGCTATGATATTTGAGTTTTATCAACAAAAAAATTTTAAAAATATTTACAGAAGAAAAATGTACTAAAACTATAACAACCCCTTCAACTTATACCTGTGTGAGAACATATTCTGACATGTCCATAAAGCATCTCCTAGTGAATAAGTGCTGCTGTGTCCATAGTTGGTATCAAAGTCATCATTACCCTCTTCGAGCAAAGCTTCCAGCTGGAGTACCGCAGGGGCACCAGGCTGCTCAAGAGGCTGACCAGTACATAAATGGAAAAAAAAAAACAATGCTAGTGCTGGGGAAGTAAAAACACTCTGTCACATTAGCCACTGGTACTAAGCCCACGTCCCAATAGGTGTTTGAACTGGTAGATTTTTTCAGAATGTGTGAATTTAGTGGTCCGACATGGCCATAAGATTTTTCTCTGAAAGTTTTGTAAAAAGAGATTTCAGTATGGTTTAATTTTTCTGAACTATAGCCATTACATGACATTCTAAATATTAAATGCAATAGGAGAAAATGTCCAGTATTATTGAAATTTTTGTTCAGACCATTGAATCCAGATTTGGACCAGTAGTTTTTAGGAAAGTGGCCAGTAAGCTGAAAGGTTTATGGCAAAGTGCACGTTTGGTATTTATTAGGAATTACTAATGCCAGTAACAATGAATATGGACAATTAAGCATACAATTATATAAATGCAAAATATGTCATTTGGATAATAAAATGAAATACAGTTCAGTGCAATTGTAACTTAATTAACAATTAATATACTGTTACATTGGCACATTCCATTTTACCTGGAGAACATACACATTCTTGAAATCCCCTAGATTCTTGTCCTTTTCCTAATAAAATAAAAAAGGTGTTTTAAGATTTTTTAAAAATGCATTCGACAAATCTTGCATGAAAATACTAAAATATTATAAAAATACTATATTACTGCTATAACATATATTAAAGCAAAAAAAAAGTGGGGAAATAAAGACGTCAGCTTATCAATTTATAAAGTCTTATCAAAACTATAATGTATTACATAAAACAAAACAAAACAAAATTATTAGATGATAAAAGATCTTCTTTCTATGAACTAAATTTCACACATACCGTTCCATAAAATACTACTCCCAACAAGTCCCTGTCACTGCTGATGATCTTATTTTGAATGACATTCTTGGTACACTGTAACATAATAATGGAACCTTACATTAGATATCCATAACTAAATGTATTGGAAAATGTTCCTTGCACTCAAATCTCACTAAAAACACATACCAGCATTTTATTATGATCTACTATCTTGCGATTATGAAAAAATGTAATCCCCATTAAAATAACACCTAAATTGTAACTATACAACAATGCTACTGTGAATAGATTTGTAATAAGTTTTCATAATAAAACTGGTACTAAAATATTAGGAGTAAAACACTTACTTTAATGCAAAGTTCAAAAGGTGTTTCCTCGGAATCTCCATTTTGAAACATGGATTCTGCACAGTCAATCAAAAATATCAATCCATCTCTTCCTCCAAAGCCAGCCTAGACAGTTTAATATAATAAAGATTAAGGTAAGTATTATTTGTGCAAAAATACCATCTGTGACTTGTTAAAAAATGTCACAAGAACACTCTCAAACTGTCTTGTGCCAGTCTGCCTTTAATAACTGGTTATTAATTTATTCATTTTTTAATTCATTCATTCATCATTATCAATGTAGAATGCTCCTGCTTATAAAGTTTTTTTATTGTTTAGTTCTTAAGGTTTAATATTAAATATTTTTCTTGACTTTATCTGAAAATGTTGTTTTTAACTGTATTTTCTCATACTTCAAATAATTGCAAACTGTATGTAAATGAATTGCACTTTATGTTTTTTGTGTTACGATAGGTTCACCATATTTTCATTCATCAGTGTATGAAAGGTCTCTTAATAAAGAACAGTAACTGCATGTGCTGTAAAGTTCATATCCCTGTGAGAGTGTCAACTTAATATAATATTCTCTTACCTGACCAAGGAACCCTTCTTCTTCATTGTCTTCATCATCATCATCACCAAACTGTGTCCCCCATGTGAAATCCATCTCTAAAAAAGTAGGGTGTTAGCACAATAAAATGAAAGTCAGAACATTTTGGTAAGCTGACGAGTTCTTTAACCTGTCAGTACCTTAATTGTCTGATACTCAAAAGTAATTATACCATTTTCTAAAATTGCACATATACATGAAAGTTTAGTAACATAGTCTCAAGCACAATGAAATTATGCCCTCCCCCACTCCCTCCATCCTCGCAAGTCATGTAATACAAAAGTGGATAACACTTTTTAATCATTTGTTTTACGAAACTTTCCAGCTTTTTATTTTCTTCTTACCTTACAAAATCACAATGAAGTTGTACTTCAAAACCAACAGGCAACGACAGCTACTTGGGGCACCGGCCAGCGCTTGAACAAACATGAAAGAGCAAAAGAGAGCATTGATGCAGAGTTAGTGCCTATTGGGATTGATTTTCGAATTTAGATTTTATTGTTCCCCCCATCATCTGTATCAAATTTTAAACTTTGCGTGCTGACACCACTTAGATATTATTATAATGGAATATATTTCACAATTCTGATATCATGTTATCGAACAAAGAACTAAATAACTTTGAAATACATGAGAGAATAACTTTGGTAGAGAGCACAAATTTCCCGGGACGCATGCGCATTTCATTTTGTTCTGTGCATGAGAGGTTGTGTTGCTGAAGTTGTTGAAGGTGCCGAATTTGGCAACCACAGGTTCAGTCATGGCTTATAACTACGTCGTTACTGCGCACAAACCGACAGCGGTTAATGCATGTGTCACAGGTAACTATGAATGCGCTTAAAACAATGCCAAAACTGTGAAATGGCAGATCTTGTATAACCTGAGAGTTTGAATAGAAAAGAATAGAAGATTAGTAATACTAATATAGTATTTAATTTAATACTAGTAAAAATGGAGTAAAAATGTGCTAAGTGTAGCACCTGGCCTCACTGAGGCCAATAGTGCTCTTTACAAATCAAATAAGTAAATAGATAATCTATCTGTAATACATTTGGTCTTTTCAATGCTTGCGTGTTATGCTTTTTTGTACTGATTTTTTTTTTTTTTTTTTTGAAAACCTTACTGGTTTTTT